ATTTTTTGCCATTTCACTGGCGGGAACACGCGTGATGTTTGCTGTACGAATCTCTTAGTCTATCTTACGGAAACGATAGGAAGAGTGGGGGTAACTAGCAGTCTACAGTCAAAGGTGCAAAGTCTGCATCCTACTAGTGTCATCTATCTCTACGGCTGTCGGCTACGGTCTACTTGATGCTACAAATGCTTCGATTCATTAGATGCATTCAGAAGCACGATTGTTCACTGAGCACTCACTAAGCTCTTGCATTTGATTGGCATATTCCATTAGATCTAAAAATGTAGATCAAACAGGTAAAAGAGCCCTCAGTGGGCGGTCGTGCTTCTGGATGCACCCATTTTTTTATTGATCAATTAGTACAATTCTTTCTTCCGATTGATCAATCAAAAGCTTCGAAGTTAGGTCATCTTCAGTATATAAGAATAATAAAGTAAATTATTTTTTTTTATTATTTATTTAAACTTAGATTAGTCGCCCATTGCGGGAAAATAATTTACAAAATTTTTATATATTGAAGATATATAAGCCTGCTTATTGGAAGGCCGAAACATCTATGTAATATGTAATTATTTGGAATTTGATTATAATTTATTGTAATCAAATATAACTACTCGCTAACGATATCTTGTGTTGTGGTGTAGGTCCTTTTTTCTTCCGTTTATAAATTTTAACCATGTATTGACATTTATTATATAAGAGGTAAAATTCCTTTTTCCCTAAAATCCCTATTCTCACCATATGTGTTATGTGTGTAGGATCTTAGACCGGTATTCATAGTCGAGTTTTATTTCAAGACCGTCTTAAGTAATGTCTTAAGACGCCTTCTGATTGGTTTGTGACTTCTTATGGTTGTACTTAAGACGGTCTTGAATAAAATCTGACTATGAATACCGGCCTTATTCGCTACTGTCGCTATTTGTCGCTATCGTCGCCGTAGCCGTGGTGCTAGTAATACTGCTAGTGAATAGTACAAGGTGCAGTAAGTGCAAGTGCAGATCGTCATCCATTGTTGGCGACCATTCACCATTGAGCTGATTGGGCCGATTGGGCATTGGGGCCATTGGGCGACTTGGCGCCCGTCATCGTGTCTGGTCTGGTCGTGTCGGTCGTTCATACGAGTGACGAGTAACGAATCCGATAGTCGTGGATAGTCGGGTATACGCGTTGTATCGAGAGCATCGTCGAGAGATTCTCACTGCGAGAAAGCCGCTGGAATCACGTGATCGTTGATATACATTGTATTGTAGACATGGCTGACAAGGAAGAAACTGAGAAGACCATCGCCGAGGACTTGGTTGTCACCAAGTATAAAATGGCCGGCGAGATCGTGAACCGTAAGGAAACGGTGGCGCGTGTTCGCGCGGGGGTCCGCGTGGTCGCGAGCGAGTGTTTAGCGTGCGCGCCTTCTCTCGGCTCATCTCGGCCACACGGGCCATATGGAATGTGGGCTGGTGGCGCGTCGATGCCGGAGCCGGGCCCGACCATGTGCTAGATCCGTCTTACATCTTCGGCATTGCTCGTTCGCGACAGCGCTTTCCCCCGAGCCACATCGTTCGCCGGCTTCGAACATACTCGATACACACGTACAATTAACTCGATCGTCGATACCAGTCGATCACCAGCAGAAAAGCAAAATTTCCAATTCGCCGTCTTTCTATTCTAATCTCTCCTTTCTCATATGTCAAATAATAAAAAGTTAAATATTTCCTTCTTGTTGACGAAATATTAAGTTAATCCATGATTAAGTTAATCTCGGAGTCCAAACTCATTCTTGTTTCCAATCATTTATACGCTTTCTAAAATAATTAGTTAACTTTTTCAGATATTCATCAATTCGTCAAAAAAGTCAATTCATTTTGACTCGTTTATTAATTAAGCTTATATTTGTGTAATGTACCTACTACATATTTGTGTTTTTTTTTTCAGGTGTATTAAAGCAAGTTCTAAACAAATGCGTCGCTGGAGCTTCTGCAAGGGAAATATGTGAGTTTAGTGACAAAATACTTACAGAGGAAACTAGTAAAGTCTTCAAAAAAGAGAAAGAACTTAAAAAGGGGATTGCTTTTCCAACATGCATATCAGTCAACAATTGCATTTGCCATTTCTCTCCTATTGCTAGTGAACCTGACCTGATTCTTAAAGATGAAGACATGGTTAAAGTGTAAGTTTCTCTCTATGATAATTGCTTCTTTACAATCTAGTGTACGATTTCTATTTTCTAGCGTTTTAAACATTGAATAACATTGTTGATTCTTCTTATTTACATTAGCACGTATTTCCATTATTAATAACAATTTGAATAATTCTAACGCATTTCACTCTTCACTAAATTAATATAATTAATGAAATTATGTATCTTTACAGTGATCTTGGAGCACATATTGATGGTTTTATAGCTGTAGTAGCACATACCATTGTTATAGGATCTTTAGAGAAAAAAGTCACAGGCAAAAAAGCAGATGTAGTTTTAGCTGCGCACTATGCTTCTCAAGCTGCATTAAGGCTTTTGAAACCAGGTACAGAGGTAAGAATATTTGTGTGCTATTTTTTTTTTAGTAAATTATTTAATTTACTAAATTTAAATTTAGTTACAAAAAATAAAATTTTGATGGTTAATTGTGTATTTCAGACTTACACAATAACAGGCACTGTGGAGAAAATATGTGACGCCTATAAATGTAAACCTATTGAAGGCATGTTAAGCCACCAATTAAAACAATTCAAGATCGATGGAGAAAAAACAATAATTCAGAATCCAAATGATGCGCAAAAGAAGGAACATGAAAAGTATACTCTCGAGACTCACGAGGTATATTTAAATTATAAAAATTAAAATAGTAGTCGATACAAATTTGGGATATAAAAAAAAGAGGAGCATTATAAAAGAGGCTTAATTATGCTTATTTAATTTCAGGTCTATGCAATGGATGTACTAGTGAGTACAGGTGAAGGAGTAGGAAGGGAACAGGACACTCGTGTTACGATATACAAGAAGACAGAGGAGACATATCAGCTTAAACTGAAGGCGTCTCGCATGTTTTATTCAGAAGTCTCTCACAAACATGGTCTCATGCCTTTCAATTTACGTACCTTCGAAGATGAGAAAAAAGCAAAAATGGCTGTTGTTGAATGTGTAAATCATAGATTGATCGAGCCGTTCCAAGTAAGATTATAATTTATACTACGTGTTTATTTATTCGCTCTCTAGCAAGCATAATAAAATTTTCAAACATTACACATTTTCATGCAGGTGCTGTATGAAAAACCAAACGAGTACGCGGCACAATTCAAATTTACGGTACTTTTGATGCCTAATGGACCTCACAAAATTACGGGAATTCCTTTTGACCTCGATATGTATCAATCTGACTGTGTTGTGGACGATCCTGAATTGAAGGTATATAGAACGTTCAATTAAGAAAAATATAAACACAACTTACAACTGCCATTTTACTGTCACAATTGATAAATTTATCAATGATTCATTTATTTATTAATTGAAAATTTTAGACCCTTTTGTATTCTTCGGCAAATCCGAAATCAGCGAAAAAGAAGAAAAAGAAGGCTGAGAAAGCTGTAGGAGACGTTGCCGTGGAAGTCGATGCTAAGGCCTAACATTGTCATTTTAAGACGTATCACGACTCAAAGGCGTCGTGCACTACTCCGATACTTTTTATTTAGTAATCTAAACTGGCAAAGGCTGGACACTTTCAAAATACGGATCAATCAGCATAGCTATACTTTCATCACTTCTTTTGCGCATCGTTTAAATTCTGAATTATTTTCTCTTCATCGATCTTGAATTGTTTTAACTGGTGACTTAGCATACCTTCAATCGGTTTACATTTGCACAAGTTACAACGCTATGCCTTGCATAACTATGTTCCTACATGAATTATCAGCAATTGTCTGGTACACATCTATATATATTTTATTCATTCGAGGAAAGTGTCGAGTTTTTTTGCTGTTGTATCGAGAAAATTAAACTTTATCACATGCATTATGCCACAACTTTATCAGCGCTTAAGTTTTTGTACCAGATTATCTTTTAATGGATTATATGGTATTACTATTATACATACTATTATACAAATTGATGATTATTCATATGATCATTATTTGCAATTATATATTGCGTTTCAATCTTTGAACTAACATTTCGTACATAACAATCTTGTGTGATCGTTTTCTGTGAAACATTTAGATTGGCCGAGCGAAGAGAAATGAATCGCATAGATCCAAAATATAACATATTAAAAAACGATTATTTTCTATCTATATAATTATATAGTTGATCTTATATAATTGAAACGACAAAATTATATAGAGTACATCTATTCAATTTATGTATGCATTATTATTGGACTATCACAAAATTTTATGAACATAGGCGAGTTGTATATTATAACTCTCGAATGTTTCCGTAAAATACGATTCCCTTTCATATTTATTGCTGGTTTTGCGCAATTTTGTATTCAGCTGTACCGTAACGTTCAATTTCAAATTGTACAATTGGAGAAATGTCCATTTTTGGACATTGCATAAACAATGAAATGCTAATGATTCTTTGAGTGTTTCGTTGCGAAAATACCCCCGACCGATAAAAAATAAAAATTAATTATTATATAAGTCTTTTCTACTCTGCGTAAATTATGAATTGTGCGCGGAGTACAAATTGTTAGTAGCAACTGGAAATGCATATTTAATATTGAATGAAAGTTTATTTGAGCGAAAGATATACTTTCTCAAGAAAATATATTCTTGAGAATATTGACTTGCCGACTTGCTACAAGCCGTAAATTATAAAAATTAATATTATGTAATAATAGTTTTATATAAGAGGGATAGATAAAAATGTATCTGTGTTATAGATATTTTTTCTACTCGAGTTGTGCATACGTCGAATGTTACAAAGTGTGCTTGTATAACAAAAGATCATTGTGCACTGTCCATCATTTGCCTGTACATCTTTTTATAATTGCAATCATGTCCAAAACAAAATTGTACTGACAATGTATATCTAGAGAAATACTTGATATTTTTTTCTGATCTTTTCAAAATAGACGACTTCTTAATCTATTTAAAATTAAATAACTTTTATACACACACACACACACACATACACAACAAAAGCATGTATACAGTGTAATGAAACATGTATAAATTTTTTTGCAAGCGAGGGCTGTGCACAAAATTCATACGCAGTAAAATTTAACTCAGTAATGTGAAAAACGAAAAAAAAAAATTGTTATAAAAATGCTTGACGAGATAAGTTGACAAGTATAAATTTTGACACACATATGTCATGAATTATTATATTCCATTTCTCTCTCTCTCTCTCTCTCTCTCTCTCTCTCTCTCTCTCTCT